TTTTTTTTTTTTTTTTTTTTTTTTTTTTTTTTTTTTTTTTTTTTTTTTTTTTGATTTTTGTGGCTTCTATTCCTTTGTATTGTTTAGATAATCTACAGCCATCTATAGCCATCTATATTAATGTTACGAGGGGTTTAAAGAATAGGAATGTATAGTAGGATTTTTTAAGGTTTTTAGAGAGTCGGGTGGGTAGATAGTAAGGTAAGAGTCCCCTACACCAGCTTCACGCTAAGAGGCTCAACATAGCGACTAGTAAGAAAATAATTGACTGAGCCACGGAGAACATACCAAGTGAACAATCAGGACAAGTTGTTTGGTAGGGTATAGAGAGATTTAATGTCCGTCCAGACAACAGGGCGATAGGGATATAGGGCGATAAGACTAATCGGCAGCGTTGCCGTCGTCGGCTGCGTAATTATCGAATTTTCGAATGTCTTTCAACCAATCAAAACGCAGCACGGCCAAGCGAATGACGCCAGTCCACCATTTTTACTTATCCGCATATCGATGACGTAGATTCGGTTGTAAACAACCCGTTGACTGCTGACTTGGCTAACACATGGTTGGTCATCGGATCGAACGATCGGATACTCAGCGCTGCGCAATGTGGACTATACAAACGCGTTTGAATTCGTTGGGACGAATCTCAAATAAAAAGTTGCACTTTTCCACTTCATAAATTCATTTTTTACTGAATCGTGCGAAAATAATTTGAGGTTATTCATTGACTAAGCCTTTGTCGGGTGCTCCGTTGGTCCCTTTAGCTTATTAGTGCTTTGTCACTTCTTAATCCATGAACCGATAAGACATAGATTTCAAAAATCGTGATTTTTACTCAGTCGATTGCGCGACACGACAAAGCGGCGACATAAAGTCGTTATCATTTCAATCTGATGTTGATGTTGATACGGGAGCGCACGGGTTGGCTACCAACAGCAAGAAAATTGCAAGTTTTACAACATTTACGGTAACTCTGAATGGACCACTAGACAAGGTGCAAATTTCAGCATTTTGATATATGTTTCTTAACCAAAATTTTACGTAAAACACGATGCGCACAACGAAAATTACCAAAATCACATCTTTACGAAGATATTCAATGATTCTTGATGCGTGAATTCAAACCACCCACTCATGAAAACTCAATGCTCTACGTGATTCACATCGCGCGCTAAACGTTTATCATGACAGTCTCTGAGATATAAAAATCTGGCAACCTCGATCTTGACGCTTTGGCTCAGCTGTAGCAAATTGCTTATAGTTTGAACAACACATGGTGGGAAATGAACATTGCTCGATTGAGAAGCTTGCTGAAACCGTTGTAGTGCGCGATTTGACTCACGTAGAGCTTTGAGTTTCCTGTGAGCGGGCAGTTCAAATTCCTCGTAACCAATGTGAAATAAAAATGTTAATATCTCCGTTAGGAGTTGGTTTCAGTAATTTTCGTTGCGCGAATCGTGTTCTACATGAAATTTTGGTTAAGTAACTTGTATCAGAATCCTTCAATTCGTACCTTGTCTAGTGGTCCATTGATCTGAAGTCTGTCAAAATCGTACAATTTTCCTCTTTGTATTTTGCAGTTTTTTGAGTGACAAATTAACAATCGGGCCTATTTCGATAGCTATTCTAAGGAATTTTGCTAGATCCAGGAAAATTTTTCCATTTCATAACGTTTTTTTATAAAAAAAACCCTGGATCGTGTTATGGACCCCCTTTCATTGTATGAACTTTTCCATCGACTGATCAATAATATTCTACATATGATTTATTTTTTCTATCTCATTTGCATAACTTCAAACTTAATAACGCTCCAAAAAAATCTCATGATCCCCAATACCCAAACATGATTTAATCACGTACATAAATTTGCGATTTTTTTCAGATGAACGGAGATAACGTTCATTTTCCTGTTTTCGGCGTTTGTCTCGGATTTGAATTGCTCCTCCGTTTCGCCAGTGACGATGAAAACGTGAGAAGAAGTTGCAAAGGAGGTGTTATCCATCACATTAACATGCCCTTGAAATTCTCTTCGGGCTTTAAGAAATCCTCTCTCTTCAAATCACTCCCGAAACGAACTTCGCGTGCGTTGCAAACGAACATAACCATCAATAACCACGTGTGAGTTCTTTTCTCCACCTTCAACTATCAAGAACACCCTCGGCCTCGGCCTTATTTTTCATTGATTTTGATTCAGATTCTCGCCCTGTGGTTTTTTTTATTATTAAATTGAAAAAATGTACTACTGCCCCTTACGGGGCATTAATTATGGATGTTAACTTAAGCTTAAAGCTAATCTTAAAACTAATGTAATAAGATCCTGTGTGGTTGAGATCAAAAAAGCCATCCAGTGCATCAAGGAGCTGGATATAACTTCCTGATCTCGTTCGAAAACCCTCATCCACCACAGAGAATCCTTCAGTGTAAAAACTGTTGGTCCTTCGTCCTCTTCTCCAGTTTCACCTGTGTATTGGTACGCTAATTAAACGAAGCCCATCGGGGCTACAGAAGAAGAAAAAAATTCAATCACTACATTGAGATTTTAAAAAATTTCATTAAATATCCAGAAAAGAGTTGGAGTTGCACACAAGATTTAAATCGCACAAATGAATTTTAAACGCGTTTGGAGTGTAAGATCGTTGCACGGGGACGGGGAGTCAGGGATGTAAGTTGACTAAGGGAAGAGTAACGCAAGCGCCCGTGGGTCAAAAAGTTGGAAAAAGACCTCGAAAAATAGGCAGCACACGCTTATATGGCCTTGCTAACGTCATGTGTGGTGAGACAACGAGAATAATCGTGATTGGCTGGCTATAATCTATGTAGCTATCAGCTGCAAGTTTGATAATTAAATTTAACGGTTAATAAAAAAGATGGTTGGAGGATAACTGGAAAGAAACGAAATTTTGAAGAAAGAGGGATGAATCCAGCCAATCTCATTGAATGAATTAATTAATCAACAAAATTCATCAAAACATAGCTTTTGAGCTTATAATTAATTAATAATGATTAACAATCAACACTTTTGAGCTTGGTATGATTTTGGGAGATTATTATAGACATGCCAAAACTTGAAACCAAAAAAAAAAAGAAAAAAAATAGAAAAAAAAGAAAAAAAATACTGAAAAAATACTGAAAAAATATCGCAGCCAACCTTTATATTCAACAGATTCCATGCCTATTTTGCAGATGGTGCCTTTATCAGGACGATTTCAAGAGGAATAATTTGGAAAATGATTGGAAAATCCTCGCAACATCTGACGACTTACAAGGCAACTCTTTTATCGCTGCAGTCGAGCATGTAAAGTATCCGATCAGCGGGGTTCAGTTTCATCCTGAAAAGAACATCTACGAATGGGGCCGAGCCCTGCCTTTCGTTCGCTCTCCAAAAGCCATCGAGGCATCTCGATACTTCTACGACTGGCTCGTCGGCGAGGCCAAGAAAAATAACCACTCCTTCGCGGAGCCTCATCAAGAACAAGAGGCCCTGATCTACAATTTTGCGCCTTCTCATAGTGACCTCTTTCACGAGTCAATCAAATTGAATTTTACACAAATTTACTTGTTCAATACGCGGTACTTGACTTTAAAATATGTGTCTGATTAAAATCCTCAATCAAAGGGAGTCTGTCAAAGTTTGAGAATTGGACAAAATGGGTTTTGGCACTTTATCAAAGTTTAAGAGATAAACGTATGGAGCGTGGAAGATAAACTGTTAAGTTCATAAATGAAATAATTTTGCCGACATGACATAAAATTTCAATTTGATGATCACTGATTTAGCATTGTAGATGCACTGAAAATTATTTTTCTTTAAATATTGTTTGTATCTTGTCGACCGTAACTTGTCGACAGATTTTTTTTTTTTTTTTTTTTTTTTTTTTTATTTTTATTTTTTTTTCTTCTTTTTTTGTTAAATCCGTGCGGGTTCAACTTGAAGCCAGTTTTTTTGTTATCGTTTTTTAAAACTTAAACCTAACGACAGCAAAACAACGCTTTTTTAACTCAAAAAACTGAGGAGCTTGGATGACAAGGCGCATAAGTACAGTTTTTGCAATTTCGAGAAGTAAGTGTTTGAAGTTTCGAAATTACATGGAATATAATGGCAGAAAGAGTTCAAACTGACTTTTTCATGCTTAAAAATTGGAATTTAGGAGCGAAAATTTTACAGAATGTGCATTAAGACTATAGTTTTACTTTAAAACATTTAAACCTCAACTTTTTCAGAAACTGCACTTGTGCGTCTTGTCCTCCAAGCCCCTCAACTGATGTTGAGTTGAGTCCGCATGGATTTGATTTTTTTTTTTTAAAAAAAAAAAAACAAATTTTCTCGACAAGAAATGACGCTTTAAGTCAAAATAATATCCCAAGAAATAAAATCGACTAGTTATGTTCTAATTATGATATCGACTTGCGGTTTAAGACGTTTTTACTCATATTGAGGGGGAAACTTTTTCAGGTACTTTCCAGTTTTTGATCCCCTTAGGGGTAGGGGGGCGGGGAGCAACTCAACAATTTCAAGTGTCCACCCCTCTCATGGCCAGTGGTGCGTGACTTAATAACCCTGTATTAGAGTCTCTAAGGGATCTCTCTATAGGGAGTCTCTAGGGATGTTGTTTGTCGCCAACATTATTTAAAATTTACCTCGAATGTGTGCTAAAGGAATGGAAAAGGAAGTGTTCTGGTATGGGTGTCCCCTTGGGTGATCTTGAAACTCTGTTCACTCTGTGCTTTCCTGATGACCAGGTGGTGGTTGCTCAAGATCAAGAAGACGCGGAGTACATGATGCGCAAGTTAGTAGAAGAATATCGGAAGTGGGGTTTGGAAGTCAGCATATCCAAATCTGAGAAGATGACTTTTGGTGGTGATCAGCAAAGCATTGAGTTGGAGGATGGGCAGCAGATCAAATGCTGCGAGCACTTCAAGTACTTGGGAGTGCGGTTGACCCAGGATGGAAGGACGGATCAAGCTATCAGGGAAAGGAACACCTTAGCAAGGAAGGCTATAGCGATGTTAAATGGAATCCTCTGGGATCAGCGGATTTCCAAAGATAACAAGAGGAGGATATACAACGCTGTAGTAAAAAGTATATTAACATACCGATGTGAAGTTTGGCAGCTGAAGAAACGGACACAGGATATGCTAAGAGCAACGGAGATGGATTTCTGGAGAAGGTCGGCAGGAATTTCTAGGAGAGATCGGGTCCGTAATGATAGAGTGCGTCAGATAATGGAAGTCGAAAATGACATCGTGTTCGACGTCATGACCAAACAACTTGTTTGGTATGGTCATGTCAATAGGATGACGGAAGAGAGGCTGCCAAAAAAGATGCTTGATTGGGTTCCTCCTGGGAGGAGGCGTAGGGGACGCCCAGTGAGAGGTTGGCGACAGGGGGTGTTAAGTGAGATGAGGGAGTGTCAACTCCCTGATAACCTGTGGGAAGACCGAGCTTTGTGGCGATTAGGTGTCGCAAAGCGCCAAAGAGCGTTATAACAGCGACTCGTATGTATGTATTAGAGTCTCTAACTGAAGATGCATCAATCGTACACGTGGCCTATATTTTTGTAAACAGCCTAAATGATGGCATGATACTAATTATTTGAATAAAATTATTTATGTGAAAAAGTGTTTTTGGTTTACATTCTCGGTTGACTGAAGTAGACTTAACCCCATCGATTTTCACTGGTGATTGACATTTTTAAATGGAGCCAGTTTGACGGAAACGCTTCAAAACTCGCATCTAGTTTGAATCGAGAAAATATCAAGAGAGGGTTCCGCAGTTGAGGCCATTGCTGGACTAACCACCTATACCGCCGTGCTAAGGAAAAACGCCGTATGAACATTCGAGAGTTGCCAAGTTTCCTCCGATTAAAACCGAATTTTCCGGGAAAATTGCAAACATTATTTTCCAAAATTTTCAGACAATTTTGTTCGCAATCTGATCTAAAATATCTGAAAATTTCAAGGTAAAATATGCGTGTTGTCAAAAATGCATGTTTTATCAAGGGAAATTTGGCAACTCTCGATTGTTCATACGGCGTTTTTCCTTAGCACGGCAGTTAGCTGGTTTGTGGGCGGAAAAACACTGTGTGGTACCACAACAACTTATGGTACTTGTACAGGTGGTTATTCCATGCACTAATCATTTGGTCTGAGCTCACTGCTCTAAAATTCAATTATTTAGCCGGGTAGCCAAAGGGATCAACTTGCTGTCACTACCAACGAACCCCAAGGATGCAATAATTTGAATAGACAGGGAGGCGGAATAACCACCTACACATACGCGTATAGATGGTTATTCCAGCGTGGGCCTCATTTGGACTGCATTCTGCAATTTGGACCTATAGAGTCTAGCCCGGTTTAAAAACAACGCATGTGTCATTAGTTTCCCTATGCACCTAAGTGTTTTTCCAGAAGAGCCAGAATTTATAGGTCCAAATTGCAAAATGCAGTCCAATTGATCTCGCGCGGTCAACTTTGCGTCGCACATTGCTTGTGAAACCGTACCTCAGAGGAACAGCGATGTCCGGGGACAAAGCGTACTATAATGTACGTAATGGAATGCGAAGCGAGAAATTAAAGTTGAGTTTAAGCGAAACAAAAGCCATAAATCCGCGGAGTAAGTAATTCGGGCGCCGGAATGAGATTAAAGAGCCAAATATCGAAGGAAACCGTCCCTGAGCTAAACTAAGGGGTAAATCGAACGAATTGACGCAAAGAGCTTCGTTCCTATTGCCAGCCGTTTGATACAACGCCGTGTATAGGTCGTACATGGCATTCTTGCTTTTTTAAAGATGTCTTTGGGTACTAATACAGAATGCAAAGAACCAGTTGGTTTCCTAAATTTTCAGTGCTTGAAATTGTTTTCGTGTTATCCATGTTTTGTTCGAAATTTGAGTTTTTAGTTAAACAGTGATCTCGAATTCCCGGTGAAATTCGATCCTATCCTCTATAATGAACCTAACTCCACCAAATTTTCTAAAACTGATTTGCAAAATAATTATTTTTCCGAATCGTGTTGAAAAAAATGCGATCTCGATATCGAGTCAGAATAATAGTTAACTGAGGACTTTGAGCTAATCCACCTTTAATATTGTATCACGTGTGAAGTTGTCCGCTCGATCGGCGAAAAACGCGCGGTCGGTGGACTTTCATGAAACGGTCAAAAAGATTCCAAAATCGAGAAAAATCGACAAGGGTACCATGAAGAAAAATTTCGGGGTCAAAATCGAAAGTTCACCGATCGGGCTGAAACAGAGTACCTTGGGAACGACCAGCTCAGTCCGATTTTCCGGTCTAAAAAGCCCTGCGAGTTCGCCAGTCCGCTCGATAAGCGAAAAACGCGCGGTCACTGAACCTCCGCGAAACGGTCAAAAAGACTCGTTTTTGACCGTTTCTAGATTCGGAAAGCTCCGCTCCGGCGTTTGCCGGGACCAGAGGCAATCGGTGCTACGCCACCAACAATGTAAGATCCGACACTAAACTCGATATTTATTTTCTCCTCCAAAATCGAGAAAAATCGACAGGGGTACCATGGAGAAAAATTTCGGGGTCAAAATCGAAAGTTCTCCGATCGGGCTGAAACCGAGCTTGTCCCTTTGGAAACGATCTGCTGAGTCCGATTCTCTGGTCTAAAAAGTTCTGAGAGTCCGCTAGTCCGTCGAAAAACGCGCGATCGGTGAACTTTCGCGAAACGGTCAAAAACACTCGTTTTTGACCGTTTCTCGGCTTGGAAAGCTCCGGCGAGGGCCCCAGCCCTCATGGCCTCATTGGCCTCATTGCCTCTGGTCCCAACCAGAGGCAATCGATTCTATGCCTCCAACTATGTGGGATTCTACACTAATCTCGATATTTTATCTGTCCTCGAAAATCAAGAAAAATCGACAGGGGTACCATGGAGTAAAATTTCGAGGTCAAAATCGAAAGTTCTCCGATCGGGCTGAAACTGAGCTAGTACCCTTGGGAATGACCCGCTGAGTCTGATTTTCTGGTCTAAGAAGCTCTCTCTGCGAGTCCGCTAGTCCGGCGAAAAACGCGCGATCGGTGAACTTTCGCGAGACGGTCAAAAACACTCGTTTTGGACCGTTTTTCGGCTCGAAAAGCTCTGGCGAGTGCCAGAACCACGGGCAATCAATTCTATGCCTCCAACTATGTAGGATTCTACACTAATCTCGATATTTTATCTGTCCTCGAAAATCAAGAAAAATCGACAAGGGTACTATGGAGAAAAATTTCGGGGTCAAAATCGAAAGTTCTCCGATCAGGCTGAAACTGAGCTAGTACCCTTTGGGAACGACCCGCTGGGTCCGATTTTCTGGTCGTAAAAGCTCTGAGAGTCCGCTAGTCCGGCGAAAAACGCGCGATCGGTGAACTTTCGCGAGACGGTCAAAAACACTCGTTTTTGACCGTTTCTCGGCTTGGAAAGCTCCGGCGAGTGCCGGGACCAGAGGCAATCGATTCTATGCCTCCAACTATGTAGGATTCTACACTAATCTCGATATTTTATCTATCCTCGAAAATCAAGAAAAATCGACAGGGGTACCATGGAGTAAAATTTCGAGGTCAAAATCGAAAGTTCTCCGATCGGGCTGAAACTGAGCTAGTACCATTGAGAATGACCCACTGAGTCTTATTTTCGGGTCTGAAAAGCTCTGTGAGTCCAGTAGTCCGCTCGATCGGGGAAAAACGCGCGATCGGTGAACTTTCGCGAAACGGTCAAAAACACTCGTTTTTGACCGTTTCTCGGCTCGGAAAACTCCGGCGAGTGCCAGGACCACGGGCAATCGATTGTGT